CATGTTTTTGAAACTTTAAAAATGGTATAACATTAATTTTAAAAAGCATTTTTCTGAAAATTAACAGTGTTAACCGATTAACCATATGGGTTAATCGGTTAACCATTTTGAATTTTGAATTTTCTGGGCTAACGTACCAGTGTTAACCGATTAACCATATGGGTTAACCGATTAACACTGAACGTGCAGTGAAAAATTGCTTTGTTTTGAGTTCAAAATTATTTTAAAAATCATACCTTTTCATGGTTTGAATCTTTTAAAATCATACCTTTTGTGAAAGGTTATTTTACTCATATAAATTCTGAGTTTTTCATTTTGAAAAACACACCAACAGAAAACCAATACTCATTTTTAAAATTGTCTTAGAATCAAATTCATTTTTCAAAAGTGTTCATACTTGCATTAAAAGTTTCACATTCATTGAACACTTGTATTGAAAAATTACAAAGAGTGAATTTTGATTCATTGGAGAAGATCACTTTGACAATTATACTCAATCCAAATTCATTACAATTATTTTGTATTTGACTTGTGATCCAGGATTGTTGGACACAAGGGTGAGTGTTTACAAGAGGATTGTTCTTGTACACTTGTGAGTTTTATTGTTTGATAGTAGGCCTCACCGGTTGATGGTATGATAGGTTGTACTGTTTTAAACAATAGTGAAAATTCTCTTTCATGTTGAAAGGGGAGTGGAGTACTCTCGGATTGTGAGGGGAACCACTATAAATCCTGTGTCTTTCTTTCTTTCTGTTGATTTACTGCTTTCCATAACCAAGAACACCATCCAGTATATTTCCAAGAACCATATAAAAACCGGAAAAATTTCAAAAGTCCTAATTCACCCCCCTCTTAGGCATACTCTGTTCTTACAGCCTCCTCACCAGGTCGAGTAGCCCCGCCTCAATCTTCACGGTCTTCTTTGCGTCCGTCCCGAGGGTCACGATCTCGAAGTCCCCGTTTGGAATGGGTCGCGTTGGATGGAAAGGCTGCCCGTTGGTGGTTGGAGGGGCGTCGCTGGCTTTGTCCTCGTGGTTGGTCTCTTCGGTGAAACGGTAGTCGAGGTCCACAGTGTCGACGTGATCCTTCGGTTTGACTTCTCGAACGGGAGGTGGCTTAGTTGCTTTGGTCGTGGGACCGATTGTACTAAGGCCCTTCATCGCTGCGTCGAAGCACCGACGAGCAGCTTCGATATCTCCGTTGAGGGTGATGACGGCTCCGAGCCTGGTGTAGTATTTCATCTTTAGGTGGACGGTCGACGGTACCGCGGTAAGTTCGGCCATCGTTGTCCTGCCCAGGATGCAGTTATACAGAGATGGGCATTCGACGACCAGAAAACGGACGTTGATCTCCCTGGCCGTTTCCTTTTCCCCGGATGTGACCTTGAGCTCCACGTACTCCCACAGTCTCGTCGTCGTCCCGTTGAAGCACTGTAGATCGGAGCCTAGGTAGGGGGATAAGTTGGATTCGCCGAGCTGAAGCGTCACGAAGTGATGGGTGTACATGATGTCCACCGAGCTCCCCCCGTCGACCAGGATGTGCCGGACGTCGAAGTTGGCCATCTGTGCCCGAATTAGGAGAGGAATGTTCGAGTTGGGGGTGGTGGCTTCGGTGGAAGCGAAAGTACTTAGATTTGTCCACGTTGGCTTTGGTGAGTGCCGATTTTGGAAAGCGAACACCTCCCCGGACGAATTCTGAGTTGGCACACTCTGCCAGTATACGCTCGCGGAAAGCGACCAGCGCCGTGTATTCGGTGAAGCATCCGACGGGGCCCCGTTGCTCGCGGGGTTCTCGGAGGCGGTCGTCTCGTCGTCTGTCCCCCCCGAGAGGTAGGTATATATTCACATATTTTAAATTCAAACAATTTTAATCTTTTAATTTTTTAGACTTAAAATTAATAAAATATTCATTTTTAAATGACTTGTCGTTTGTGGAACGTGACAAATTATAATATAAAATATTTTATAAAATTTTATGATAAAAAATATAAATTAAAAATTAAATGCCTCAAAATAAAAGATTAATTTCGTGAATAAAATAAAATAAAATAAAATAACAAAATTAAAATTAAATTGAATTAATATAATTTTAGTGTTTTTTTTAATCAAATAACCGAGTGTCTGTAATTCATTTTTAAAAATAAATAATTGTAATGTGGCAGATTCAATTAAATTGACTTATTGGAACTTTTGATGCCTATTTATTTTAACGATGATGATTATATATATGTTTTAGTAACCAATATAATTTATTAATCATTAGATGTAACGGGTAAAATTTACATCTCATCCCTATCTAAATCTAATAAACATTATTATTAAAAGATTTTATTTTATTTTATTTAAAACATAATTTGAAAGCTAAAAAATTACATACATATAATATCTTTTTATTCAATTTTTGATGGAGTATAAATAGGAATTTGTTAGTTTTCTTTAGAGCAACTTTAGGACAGGGTTGTTAAACTAAAATTTTGTATACTTTAGGTTAGTAATAAAGAATTTGCATTATAGTAGAGCTGACATGACATCTAATGAATTAAAATTTAGTTTCTATTATCTATATAATTAACCTTAACTGTTCAATGGAAAATATAATATAATATTATTTAATATTAATAAAATATTTCAATGGGAAACATGTTTATATGTTTTTTTTAAATAACATAAATTTAAGGTGTTTGATTTTTTTAAAGTAACTGTTGATTTTAAATCATTTTTACATCCATGTATCCAAACATAAACACATTTTATTAAACTTAAATCTATTAAAATCAATTCTACTAAACTCAATTTTATCAAAATCAATCAACCATGACCAGACAAACTAATACTACAATGAATTTTTAAAACTTTGGTTTAAAAACATAAAACTTTAAAGGACATGCATATACTTGAAAATACCTTAACTTATAACTTAAGAAATCTTTAAATGAAAGTGAACTTTAAAAGTGAAAAAATACGCAAATAAACATAAAAATTTCAACTTCAAGGTTTGTGGTGGTTTTATATAAACAAAAATAAAGTTCAATATGACATTTAATTTATAGCTGTGGAAGATGAGACATTTGGTTCAATATATCTAGGATTATAGGATTTATGTTGTTTTCACAATTATAGGATTTATTGAAGAAAAATCATGAGATTTAGAGTTAAATCATGAGGTTTCTATGATACTCTACGTTGTGTGTATTGAAGAGAAAACACGAGGGTTAAAGTTAAATCACAAGGGTCATATGGTACTCTTCATATGTTGTATCATTTTTAATTTTATAATAAAATATATTTAATATTATTTCTAAGTTTTTAAGGTAAATTTTATTTAAAAAATTGTATGCATTTTAATTAAATTAATGGTAACTTGAATAAAAAATATAAAATGTAGGATCATGTTTTGATTTCTTATAAATAATCATCATTAAATTAAAAACTATTCAAATCAACTATAAATTTATTAAATCCTACAAAACACTTTGGGCCCATAAAAAATATCTTAGCTTACCCATTTAGTTTAAACCCATTAAAGATATTATCTATTACTTTAAATATTATTATTTTAGTTATAAAAGAGTAACAAATTGGTGACACCTTCTCTCTCTGAAACTCTAATTAACACTACAAATTTGATATATAAGTAAAGAAAAAGTGAGTAATTAGAATTCTGAATAAATATTTGTTTAGAATGGGAGACAAGAGGAGCAATCTTTCTTTTGCTGCAGCCAAGTTTAGGTATCGTATTATGGAGGAACATTTTAGGGCTCTTCAACTTCAACCTTCACACACCAATGGAGTTTTTCAACAAGGTACTCATATTTTTTTCTTTCTCAATTGAATCTATGAGTTACTTTGATTTCAATAGATTTTTGATAAATCCTAAACCATAAATTTTAAATTTATTATTATTTACATATTAAAAAGAAAAACAAACAACATACACGCATTTTCATATTCTCTAAACTTTCTTCATGATATATTTTGATATGAGATTATTGGTAATACTCATTCGTAACCTTGAGAGTGAAAGCATATGAATGTAGAGGTTACTTTATTTTAAAAAAAATATTTATATAAAAAAAGTTAATTTTTTAACTTTCAAACAAACACAAATTTATTTTTTAAATTCTATTTAGTTATGATAATATTAATTTGTAATTTTAGGGCTAAAAATCGAATAAAAAATATTGTTTTGGAAATTATTTTTTAAAAATATTGTAACTTTAATTCATGAAGTAGTTTTTTTAACAAACAAGTAACTTATAGTTTAATTTTATCAAATAAAACTTTAAATAAATTTATCAAAAAATTTATAAACTACTAAAAAAATTATCTGCATAAGTGGCGTCCAAGTCCAACGGAGACCTTTAGATCTCAAATTAGTATTAATTTATTTAAAATAATTATTTTATATTATTTAATAAGCTTTTTATTTATTACTTTTATGCTAAATAATTTTTAAAAATCAATCAATCTTATTAGTATATTTGAAATTGAAAAAAATTATTTCTTTTAGCGAAATTGTAAAGATTTATTAGACTTAAATGATCTTTGATTTGATTTGATTTAAATTTTAAAAAATTTTAATTTAAAATTTGATTGGGTCAGGTTTGATAAATTCATCTTCTATAATATTTTGAAAAAGAATCAAAATATCAATTAAGAATAACTAACAGAAAAAAATATGATAAATTTGTTAAACTTTCAAACGTATATCCTAAGAAACTATATTAAATTAAATTTGTTATTTTTCTGTTTTTTCACTAAATACCTTTTTGTTTTTTTTGTATGACTCAAATAACAACTTGATCAAATAAATAAATAAATAATTTCAAATCACGGAATATTTTTACTTCTCATTCTACTTATTAGTACTTACGATTAACTAATCTAATATTTATTAAAAATTGTTCCAATTTTTTAATACTTTATTTTCATATTCTTCTTCTTTGTCTTTTAATCTTTGCAATCTCTTCTGCCGTAACTAATTTTAATGCTTTTTTAGCTATGGAAGAACAAGTTCACATTGAGAGAAATATCCATCTGTATAATGGTATCCATCAGTATAATGGTAGTAATTATTTTATAAATAGTGCTTCTTCAATGGAGGAGAATAATTCAATAATGAGAGAAGTTTATACTAGTGATAGCAATATATGGAACAATGGTTATCTCCATCATAATTATAATCTTCATAATTTCTCTCAACCGCCATGGAGAGGATGGGTGGGTTTAATGGCAACGGATTGTCTCGATTGTCAACATTTGCAAGCAATAATCGAAGAGGGTGATCCAAGATATGTTGCTATGATACTATTTGAAATAAAGGATAATTTACACGAGATGATGAAGCATCAGTATAGCAACTATCTGATTCAAAAGATTTTTGAGGCAAAGAAGGGCGTCACTAATATTCAAATCGATTCTATTATTTACTTGATTATCTCCGATACTCAAAAGTTATGCGATGTCTGCAACAATAATCACGGGTACTTTTCTTTAAAATATTATGCAAACCATTTGATTTAAAATTTATTCTCTAAATTTTTTGTTATTGATAAGTTTCGTGTAATTCTACTTTTTTTTTTTAGAACTCGCGTTGTGCAGATAATGCTAGAGAATATTAAATGTCCATTAACAAAATATGCGGTAGTGTATACGATAAAGCCTATCATTGTTGATCTGATGACAAATATAAATGGTGGTTATGTCATTATACAATGTGTGAAGGTTCTCCCGCCCACACTAAAAAAGGTTTGTTGTAAATAAAAAATTCAAATTCAAATTTGAAATTCGCTATCATTATCTTTTATCATCATATATTAATGTCTATCAAATTATATAACTTGTACAGGTGATCATGGATGAATTAACAAAATATTGTGTTGATATTGCGACACATAAGATTGGATGCTCAATTGTTCAAACTTGTCTTAAAGATGGTGGGATACTAGCCAATGATTTGATAACAACAATCATCTCAAACGCTATGTTGCTAGCAGAAAATCGTTACGGGTTTGAATTCTCATTCTTGAACTTTTTTTTTGTTTATGTTAAAGTTGTTGAACGAACACTTCTTTGAATCCATACTCTTGAAATATTTTTTTTTGAGTTTAACATATGATATATTTCGTAGAATTTGAATGTTTATTCTAAATTTAGTATTCTGATAAACGTTATATTTATTTTTGAATCTTTTGAAGAAACTACGTGGTGCAATTTATAATCAAAATGAATTTCCCACTAGTAAATAAACGGATGATAGCAGAACTTAGTGGAAAATTTGTTACACTCTCTATGGATAAGCATGGTAGCAATGTGGTAGAAGATCTATTGAAATGCTCTGATCAAGATGATGTTAATGCTATAGTAAGAGAGCTAATGAGAAGCACCAATTTCTTGAAAGTTATCCAAGATCCTTATGGGAATTATGTTGCAAAAAGAGCAATAAAATGCACTAAGGTTTGTGTTCCAACATTCTTAAAGTTTATTGATGTTTTAATTCATATATTATTTGTGTTAAAACAATTATTTTTATTTTCTTTAATCATTCTTTTTTTGTTTTGTTTGTTGCAGGGCTACCTACGCAGAAAACTTTCTTCTCTCATTCTATCGTACCGCAACGAACTTCAAAACCATCCTCACGGAAAAATAGTGTTTGACAATGCCAAATCTAAGAAAAGATAATTTTTATATTCAATGGATCACAACAACTCTCTTGTTATGTAGTAAAAGAATTTAAATGTTGTTTTTACGATGTTTCGTCAAAATATTATTAGTTACAATGTTTTTTTGTTCATTCATCACACATTTTTATATATATATATATATATATATATATATATATATATATATATATATATATATATATATATATATATATATATATATATATATATATATATATATATATATATATATATATATATATATATATATATATATATATATATATATATATATATAGAATTTTCTATTCAATTTTTTTTTATTATTATTTTATAATATATTTTTATAATATATTTTTTAATATGTTTTATTTTATAAATTAACAGCAAAAATCGGATGTATAGCTGCAGATATTTTTCTGCTGATAAATTCCAAAAAAAAAACAAAATATTTTCGATATTGTAGTTGATATTGTTATTTATAAGCATTATAATCGATATATTTAAAATTTATTAATTTAAATATAATTTTGTATAAATGTATTTATAGATATTTTCTTAAATCTCTGAAAAAGTTATAACATATTTTTCAAGTCTAATATCATTAGATTCTACTAGTCTGAGAGTAAAAACAACATCTAGATATAAGAGACAGAGTGGAAACAAAGGGGGATAAAAGCAAACACTGATGCTAGCTTTAAAATGGAAGGAAATTAAGGTCTTGACACTGTTTTTAGAGACGAAAATTTATGTGTAATAACATTTTATAATGTTATTTAAATATCATATGAATATTTGAATGTAGAATGAAGCATATTTGTTTGAGAAGTGAAAAAAATATAATGTGTTATAATTTTTCATTTTAATTTTTCTTTTTATTTTTAAAAACACTATCAAATAAAATTCAATCAAAACTAATTTATAATATAATAAAAGAAAAAAATTAATAATAAATTATTTATACTAATTGATATATTTAATTATAATTTTAATTCCTCTATTTTAATTGATTCACCAAAGTTATTCACATAATTATTTTTCTTGAAAAGATATATATTAATACACATGTATCCATTGGATCAAAGATTCTACTTCCTGCTATTCAGGTTCCATAACATCTTGGCAAGGTGTGTTTGGTTCCAAACTCCCACCATGGTTCTTAGGGCAACAAACCAAATTCCAAGCTATAGGATATTTTTTACTGATCTCCTTGCTACTAGTACAAATGAAACTCTTGCAAATAACTTCAATTTTTTTTATAACAGTTTTAGGGAAAGGCAGACATTGCGTTCAAAAATTCATAGTTGCAAAAGTCACACTTTGGATGAGTTGGATTCTTCCAGCATAGGTCAGTAACCTGGAACTCTAATGTGTGATCCTCCCATTCTTTCACATTCTTAGCCTCTGATGTCTTTGGAATGAGGGTAACAATGGTATTATTCAAGGGTTTGTGCATCCTCCCATTGATGAAGAAATATTGAAAAGTAGCTATGACATCCTGTTTGATGATGTTCTAAGATGCTTTAAAGAAAAGGACACCATACCCATCTTTTCCTGGAGCTTTTAAATCCCCAATGTTAAACATGGCTTATTTTATTTCATTGTTATTAATAGGTATCACCAACTTCTCTATGCGCTTATTGCTTAACTGAAAGCCTTCCCTTATGGAAAAAAATGTTAACTCCCTCAAGGTGATTCTCCGTTTTTCCCATCAGGAAGCCATAATAATTGAAAAGTTATGTCTCAAGTTTCTCTAACCTAGTTGTTATGGGTATAAAGGTTGAACTTGGTATGAAGAGTGGTTAAATGAAGACTACTGCTAGAACCTCTAGCAATAACAATACCAAGAAGTTTCCCGGAGGTTTTTAGAAGATAAATGAAGGTGAGATGAACGTCGTGTCAGCCAATCAAGGAAGAAATTACTCATGGAAGAAACAACAGTGGCATTTTGCCTAACAACAACCAAACTATCCTATGCAGTATGTCTTAAAACCATAGGTGGCAGTCGTCACAACGACTTTCAACCAACAACAAGCACCTATTTATTAGACTGTCAGCAAGCACCAGTATATCAGCATGCCCATGCAGCGCCTGCATATCAACAAGTGTCCATGGCACCAACTTATCAATAACCAAGGGCTCAAGCTCCCCTTCTGCAAAATTCTCCCAATCAAAATAAGGTACAAAGGAATAAGGTCAACTTTGATCCAATTCCTATGACATATAGTGAGTTGTACCCTTATTTTTTGCAGAAAGGGCTACTGGTTCCAATACCTTTGGGTCCTCCACCTAATCATATACCTCCATGGTTCAACCCAAATGCTCATTGTCCTTTCCATGAAGGAGCTTATGGACATGATCTAGAATGATTTTTTGCATTGAAAATCAAGGTGCAAGAGTTGGTAAGAAGCAAGATCCTTTCATTCAGGGATGTGGGGCCTAATGTTAAGAGTAATCTTTTGCCTGCGCATGATGCTATTAATGCCATTGAAGAAGTATCTAATGTTAATGTGATAAAAAATGTTGAAGATATCGAAACTCTGTTGCTAGCATTCCATGCAAGATTGGTGGAAGTTGGTTTGGTTAAACGATGATCTTGCTCGTATGTTCTACTCGATAACAAACTATACTGAAGAGGCTTCTCGATCCCTCTCCTCAAATGCATCGATAAGACCCAAGCCACGGCCGTCTTGGAAGAGGTTCACGAAGGCATTAACGCGCAACACCTCGGGGGAAGGTTCCTGGCGAAGAAAGCCCTACAGGCAGGATACTTCTGGCTGACGATGCAGGAGGACGCGAAAGAACATGTCAAGAAGTGCGACAGGTGCAGCGGCACGGGGACATGCACCTCGCCCCTCCGAGCAAGCTCAAATCCCTCTCCTCCTCGTGGCCGTTCTCTTGGCGGGGGATGGATATCCTCGGTCCATTCACCTTAGGCTCATATCAGAACAAGTACTTGATAGTGGGCGTCGACTACTTCACCAAATGGATCGAGGCCGAAGCCCTCGCCAAAATCACGGCACACAACATACTCCGTTTCTACAAGAGGAACATCCTCGCCAGGTTTGGCGTCCCGCTCGCCATAGTCACCGACAACGGGACACAATTTACGAACAAAAACTTCCGAGACTTCGTCACCAAACTCGGGACCAAACACCACTTCACCTCAGTCGATCATCTACAAACGAACGGCCAGGCCGAGGCCGCGAACAGAGTGATCCTCCGAGGACTGAAGCGAAGACTCGGCGACACCAAGAAAGGATGGGTCGAGGAACTCCACAGCATGCTCTGGGTATACCGAACAATGCCCCACTCGACCACCGGGGAAACCCCATTCCGCCTTACGTACGGAACAAAGGCGGTGATCTCGGTGGAGATAAGGGAGCCGTCCAGAAGGACCAAGGCTCCCCTCAAGGAGGAAAATAATGACGAGGCTCTCTGAGAAGAGCTCGACCTAGTTGAGGAGATTCGGTTAGGAGCGGCTCTTCGTGAAGCTACCCTAAAATAAAAAACCGCTCTTCACTACGACAGCAAAGTCCTAAAACACGAGTTCCAGGTCAGTGATCTGGTTCTACGAAGAAACCAAAAGGACTCAGACGAGAGAAAACTCGTCGCGAATTGGGAAGGCCCATACCGTGTCCGGGACAAGACGGAGCATGGGGCCTACTACCTCGAAAACCTACACGAGGATCAGATAGCTCGACCATGGAACACTGAAAATCTAAAAATATACTACAGTTAAACACTCCCCGCGAGAACCTTCCTCGCGACCACGGGATCGCGACGTCGTATGACCGCGTCTCCCCGAGATTAACGAAAAAGCAAGCCTCTGCCCTTTGTGTGTGTGCGGGCAGGGTGTTCTGCTCGACGGCGACCCCTCGACCGAGAATCGCCGCTGCAGTACCACGTCCGACAGATCCCCAGCTCGCGATGGGACGTTCACGCCACGGGGGCTGGCCCATCACCGTAGTCCACTCCCGTCATCGACCAGGTAACCACCTCAGTCAACCGACCAGTTCCCTACACTCCCGAACACAAAGAATGTCGAGCTAACTCCCAACTTAGCAGAATATAAAGTAAAGCATAACAAGCATACAACCGAATATACAAAACAAATGAAAATATTTATTACGCATAAATATACAAGCACGCATAAACACTTAGAAAGAAAACATGAAATCCAATTAGACGGGAACAAAGCCAGAAGTCAAAATATTACAATAATGGGCACCAGTCCAAAATCCAAACAAGACATGGCATGCAGGCCAAAATATCACGGGCACGCATGCCAAAATGAATAAGGGCGCGCAGACCACCTTTCCAACTCTACATCCTCCTCTTCATCGTGGGCATCATGGTCCCCATCATCATCATCAGAGCCTCCAGCCGCAACAATCCGACAATCTTTGATCCGGTGAAAGGGGTCGATCACGTCGGTCATCAGATCGGGACTGACGATCCTGAGCTGGTTGACAGCGTGCGTGAAGCCCACTTCGACGGCTCCCAGACAATCCTCCTCGAGTTGACGAACCTTGGCCACGAACCCTCTCCGTGACGAGATCAATCGATCCTCCTCAGACTCCTCTTCGGCTGAGGCGATTAGGTCCTTAAGTTCGACCACGCGGCCTTCGACCATCTTCAGCTCTTCGTCCCGGTCCTTCAAGGCTTTCTCTAGCTCCTCGATACAATCCCCCTAAAGCTTGTCCCGCTGCTAGTACACTATATGGTCGGTCGCGAGCTTGGCCCTGACCTCCTCTGACATCGCAAGCTCGCCCTTAACAGCGGCTAGATCCTCCAAGGATCACCCCGCCTTGTTCAACACAAGAGCTATCTCGAAGACCCTCACCATCGCCGCCAGATCGGCGAACAACACCTTTTGCCGAGCCTCCTTGCTCGCCGCCAAAATACTTTTCTCCTCGTCCGGTGCCACCCCGGGCTCATTCCCCCCGAAAAGAAATTCGGTCGAAGGCAGCAAGGGGGCAGAGCAAACCCGCGCTCCGGAGAAGCTTCAGTAAGGTC